TCAATTTGGATACCTCTTTTTTTCTTCTCTTGTCTTATTGCTATGGCTAAGACTTTCAATACAATATTAAATAGGATAAGTGATAATGGGCATCCTTGCCTAGTTCCTATTCTCAAAGGGAATGCCTTTAATCTCTCTCCATTAATAACAATGTTGGCTCTTGGGTTTGTGTATATACTTTTTACTATGTTGAGAAAATTCCCCTCTAATCCCATTTTGTTGAGTGTTTTAATCAGGAAAGGGTGTTGGATTTTGTCAAAAGCCGTTTCTGCATCAATTGACAGGATCATGTGGTTCTTGTTCTTTGCTTTGTTAATGTGATGAATTACAATGATTGTTTTTCTTATGTTGAACCATCCTTGCATACCTGTTATGAATCCCACTTGGTTGATAGAATCCAATGATACATCAAAAAAATAATTCACCACGACCAAATGTATTTTATTTTTCAATACATAAAATACATCATTCATGGTAAAAGAAGCCAGGTGTTGGTTTCCAGTAGGGGGTATTCTTGTGGAATTACTTTGAGGCTGAGTAATTTCTTGCTCTTTAACAGATTCTGTGATGCCAACATTGCCTTGCTCAGGTTCTGGAAGCTCATTCAGAGGTACATCCTCATAGGATAGCTTGTCTTCTTGCCAGGCATCATCAGTCAAATCCAAGACCCTTCTCTCTCTCTCTGTACCTGACTGTCCATTCTCTAGCTGTTTTCATCTTGTCAGATAAGAATCCATAACTTGTACCAACTCTCCCTTTCATTTCCTTTTGATGCTTCCTGGATGCCCATAACATTTTTCAATATTGTAGCTTAAGGTTTGAATTTGGTTTTCAATTCTTGCAGCTTGAGAAGTGCTGAGTGATTTCTTCCCTTTTTATTCTCTGGCTCTAGCTCTCTGCATATTTCATTATAATATTTTACTTTATTTTCTTGTGCCGCCCTCTGAAATCGTCTGTTCAGCTCTTTTAGTTTGGCGTTCTTCTTTTTGTTTTAGATTCTCTATGCTGTAATACAATTTTATAGTTTCTTCTTTTTTTTCCTTCTTAAAGTTTTATTGTTATTCTTCATAGTCTCTTCTGACACTCGTATTTGTTTCCCCCCCCCCTCCTTCTTTGTAATGATCTTGTACTCTCTTCATGGGTAATATCATTGATGTTCTCCCAAAGTTTCTCTGGTCTTCAATCATTGGTATCCAATTCCTCAAACCCATCCTTTTTTTTTTTAAGTTTTGTGTCAAGTTGTTAAGTTTTGTGTTAAGTTTTTTTAAGTTCTTGAGATAATTATTAAATTCAGATAGGCTCAAGGTCATATTTTGGTGCCTGTGGATCAACTTTCTTTTTTTTTTCAGCTTCAATTTAAACTTGCACAAGAGTAATTGATGTTCTGTCCCACATTTGGCACCTGCTCTGATTTTGACTGCAGATACTGCACTTCTCCAATGATTGTCTATGCAAATATAGTCTGATTCCTGTGTAATCCATCATCAAGTGAGATCCATTTTGTAAAGTCACCATTTGTATGTAAAATAGGTTTGTACCATCACAGACAAGGGTCTCATAACAAAAGTTTATATAATCTGACAGGTTCGCCACAAGAAAAAGATTGATAACCCAATTACAAAATGGGCAAGAGACATAGAAAGACTTTTCACAGAGGAAGACATTTGGTTGGCCAACAAACACCTGAAGAAATGCTCAAAATCTTTGGCAAAAAGAGAGAAGCAAATCAAAACCACAATGAGATACAATCTCACCTCAGTAGTAGTATCCAGGTTTAACAGGACAGCAAGCAATAAATGTTGGAGTGGATGTGGAGAGTTGGAACTCTCATACCTTGTTGGTAAGACTGTAAAATGGTACAACCACTCTGATAGGCAGTTTGACAGTTCCTCAAAAAGCTGAACATAGAAATTCCATATGATACAGCTATTCCACTCCTCAGAACATACCCTAAGGATAAGAACTGAGACACAAATGGAGATTTGTACACCAATGTTCATAACAGCACTATTCACAATCCCAAGAACATGGAAATAGTTCCAATGTACAACCACAATCGAATGGATTGAGAAATTGTGGTACACTCACATGATGGACTACTTACTATGCTGCACTCAGGAGCAATGATTTATAAAGTTACTACATAACTTGTGAAAGACTGGTGGGCATTATGCTGAGTGAACTTAGTCTCATAAGGATAAATACTGTATAGGATCATTATTATAAAAATAGAAGTATAACTAGTAAAATGTATATGGGGACCAGGGGGAAGGGGTGAGAACAGAGGGATGAGGGTGGGCAGAGAGGGGAAATCATAGGGTCACACAATTTTTTGGTTGGAGGAGGAGGGTAAAAGAAATGGAAACGATCCAGTGAGGACTTGAAAAGACAGGGTAATAAAGAGCATGGTTTAATGGTGATTGATCTTATAAAACATAATGAATGATTGTATGAAATGCAGTGTGAGTGGAAGTGTGAAATACAAAGCATATGAACTTTGTATGCAAACCAATGTAAAAGTAAAAAAAAAATAAGGTATTTGCTATGAACAAATTAAGGACACAAAATTAAATCATTCAACCTCTGGCTCATTTCTGTCATTACATCTATACATTCTGACTACCATTCCTTTCTCTTTGTTTCCAACTTTTGCATTCCATTCACCAACAATTATTAATGCATCTTGATTGCAGCATCAAGATGGATTGCAGGAAGACTTATCAACAACATGCGTTATGCAGATGGCACAACTTTGCTTGCTGAAAGAGAGGAGTATATAAAACACTTGCTGTAGAAGATCAAGGACTACAGACATCAGTATGGACTACATCTCAACAACAAGAAAGCAAAGGTCCTCACTATAGGACCAACAGTCCACTGTATGACAGGTGGAGAAAGGATTAAAGCTATCAGTGATTTTATCTTTCTTGAATCAACAATCAACACCCGTGGTATCAGCAGTCAGAAAATCAGAAGACATTGCATTGAGCAAGACAGCTACCAGGGACCATGCCAAAATGCAGAAGAGCAATGGCCTCAGTTTAAAGACTAAGGTGTGCCTGATTCAGGCCATGATCTTCTCAATCACCTGCTACACATCAGAGAGCTTGACAGTGAAAAAAAGGATGATGAAAGAAAAATTACTGCCTTTGAGTTGTAGTGCTGGAGAAGACTAGAGTTGTAGTGCTGGAGAAGAGTACTGAAAGAACAGATATGTCTTGGAAAAAATTGCAGCCAGAGTGCTCCTTGGAGGCAAAGGAGAAGCTTAATTTTTCATACTTTGGATATGTTACTATGCAAGGCTAGCTATTCCTTGGAAAGCTTTTCATGCTTGAAAAGATGGAAGGTCAGCAAAGGATAGGGAGACCTCCAACGAGATGGATTGACACAATGACTTCATCACTGGGCTCTAGTGTATCAGTTATGATGAGGATGGCACAGGATAGGACAGGGTTCAAGTCGGCTGTTCATAGGGTCACTATATGAGTCAGACTCAACTCAATGGCATCTAACAACAACAGCAAGCTTTGTAACACTGCCTAAATCTGTGGTGAGGCTGAAGGCTGATGTGCCTGTGAGCATATGTCAGCATTTATCCAGATGGAGTGATGGTGTTCTGCTGTGAATCTGAAGTAGATCCTTTTTAATTTCCCTAATACGGTTCCATGTTGTGTGTGAACTATCACAATGGATTTTGGATCCAGTAGAACAGTAAGCCTGGTATTGGGAAAAGTAGAAAGAGGTTCAGAAGCATGGAGGACACGTCTGACTTCATGGGAATTGCTTTTGCGTTGTCAATGTGGACAGTACCCCTTTGGGGAGCTGGTAAAGGTCAGCTGGTAAAGGCTGTCCCTCCACGGCCTTTGCTCTTTTTCCACTCACAAAGTAAAACAATTCTATGATGTATATGAGAAATAGCTTAAAAGAAGAGAATCAGCAAAAATGTACTGGGCAAATGGAAATTAAAAAGCAAAGGTTATAATCTTAATATCAGACAAGGTAGCATTTAAGCAAAAAGAAAAGACTAAATGAGACAAAGAAGGACTGTTAATCTTTAAAACCCAATTCACTATGAAGATAAAATAATCACTAATATCTGTGTAATAAAAGAATAGTAATTTACAAAACTACAAGAAAAGAGTGTTAAAACAGGTAGAAATGTGCTAATGACATATATATATCTCAGTTCAAGATATTTTAAAAAACAACAAGGAAAGTATAATCATTTAGAAGAACTAAATAATTAGGGAGTTCTGGTGGCCTACTGGGTAGAGTTGCGCTGTCAAACCAAAGACAGGTCGTTCAATCCATTAGCTGCTTCTCAGGAGGAAGATGTAACATCTTCTGGGCTATTTAAACCTCAGCAAATCTGCTGGTGGGTCCACTATGAGTCAATTCCAATCAACAGCAATGAGTTTGAATTTGAAATAACATTAGTAGGTTTATTTCTAATAAGATGGATAAATTCTGTGAACCCTTTCCTACAAAATGATATTGCTTCAGTTTTCTACTGTTGCATAAAAAATTATTCCCAAAATTTAATGACTTGAAAGAACATATGAACTTAATCATATCAATAGTCTTTAAGATGGCATAGGACTAAGTAATCATTCATTTTTTTATACATAAGTTGCTATGATCAGAGTCACATTGATGGCAATTAACAACAAAAGACTCACATATTTTAAAAAAAAGACTCATATTATCTCACAATTTCTGTGGGTCATAGGTTCAACAGCAGCTTCACTTAGTGGTTCTGGTTTAGAGTGTCTCGTAAGGTTGTAGTCAAGATGTTCACTGGGCTCCAGTCATCTCTGAAGGCTTGACTGGGAAGCTGGGACATCTGCCTTTAAATCACCTCAATGGCATAGTTTTAGCTAGAGGCCCAAGATCATTGCCACATGGACACTTTCTATAAAGCTTACTTAGTATTTTTAGAATATGCAGCTGGTTTTCCCCAGAACAAATGATCTAAGAAAAAAAGGAAAGTTGGAACCAAAATGCCTTTTAATGACCTACCCTTGAAGTGGCATGCCATCATTTCTGCCATCAACTCATTAGAGGTTCCTAAGCCATATTCAAGGTAATGTTCTCTACTCTGTGGATATATTTTCAAATAATCATGGATGATATGACAAAGTAAAAAAATAGTTTTTTATTAAAATGAAGAATTGATGTTTTAATACATAGTCTGCCCTCAACACCTGGATAATGGAGGTTTCTTAAATCATCAAAATATCTCTCAAGAGGAGCTCTGCTCACCAAGGAGATAAGGAGTTGCACCGCTAACTCAAAGGCATGTGGTTCAAATCTACCAGTGGCTCTGCTGGAGAAAGATGGGCAGTCTCCTCCCATGTGACTTACTGTCTCTGAAAACCAACTATAGGGTAAGTTATGGGTCAGTTCTAACTCGATGGTACCTAACAACAACAAGAATAACAACAACAATGTTCTCAAGAACCTGCTTATTAACTTTGAGTTTCGTTTTGACAATAGTCATTCAAAAGATGTAAAAATAAAGTAGGAGAAAAAGACCAAAAAGTTACAACAAGAAATAAACAGAAACTATGGTCAGTATGACTCACTAACAGGAATGTTCTAAAATGATCTGGCTTTCTTGGAATGCAGGAAGCTTTTGAGGATAGTGCAATTTAGGGATTTGGACCTGGTACTGCTTAAGTTTAAGGGAGCTTTAAGCAGAGGGCTAAATAAAATTATAGGTGTAAAATATTAAGGTTGGTTTGGGAGTTTTTTTAAATCAGTTTTTTAATCAAAATTTTAATGAGAATAAAACTTTCTGATGGAAGTCAGTAACTTGTCCATCTAGTTTACCAGTTCAATGAATAAACCTTAGATGAAAACTATGGTCTGCCTGCATTTTAAGTACTATTTCATAATTTTAAGTGCTGCAACTGAAGCTCTGGCTTCGAGCTTTGCTGTGCAAATGAGCTCCTTTGTTACCTATAATTCTAATTCTGTTAACCTACTGTATACAAAGGCGAATTTTGCAGGGTGTGGTGGTGGCACCCCCTCGGAACCACATGCTCCCCGACCTGATGAAGGGTGGGCCCTTCCAGGCACAGCCGCTGGGCCCTGGGCTGCGGCCGCCTGAGGAGGCCAAGGGCCCTTTCGGCAGGTCCCTGAGCAGTGGCCGCCTCACCAACCTGCTCCTGAAGGCAGCCTTTACCACACAGGCCCCAGACTCAGGCAGCACCGACTGCTTGCAGGAGAAGCCCGTGGAGACAGCTCCCTCCCCTGGCTTTGGAGAAAATCTACACCCCGGGGCCCGTGCTGGGGGCTCCAGCAGCCCTTCCCCTGTGGTGTTCCCCATGCGCTCCCCCCCAAGTGGGACCACGCCACCTCAGGACCGTTGTACATGCATATTCTCAGGACACTGCTGTAGCTTTGCTGACCCCATTGCTGCAAACCTGGAAGGAGCTGTGACCTTTGAGGTCCCTGACCTGCCTGAGGAGACCCTTGTGGAGCAAGAGCACACAAAGGCGCTGCATGGGCTACGCTTCACGCTGGCCTTCGTCCAGCATGTGCTGGAGATCGCTGCCCTGAAGGGCAGCGCTGGGGAAGTGGCCGTTGGCCCTGAGTACCAACTGCCGGCGAGCCTGGTAGCTGACCAGATCAGCCAGCTGAGCCGTGAGTGGAGCTTTACAGAGCAGCTGGTGCTGTACCTCAAGGTGGCCAAGCTATTGTCAGCAGGACTGCAGATGGCCATTGAGCAGATCCGGGCAGGCAAGCTCTGCCTTTCGTCCACCGTGAAGCAGGTGGTCCACAAGCTCAACGAGCTGTACAAGTCGAGCGTGCTGTCCTGCCAGAGCCTGAGCCTGCGGCTGCAGAGGTTCTTCGTGGACAAGCGGTGGCTCATGGACTGTGTTCCCAGCATCAGGGCAGAGAAGCTCATCTTCAGCTACGCTGTGCAGATGGTGCAGTCAGCAGCGCTGGATGAGATATTCCACCACCGGGAGGACTGTATGCAGCGCTACCACAAGGCCCTGCTGCTCATGGAGGGGCTGCAGCAGATCCTCACAGACCAGACGGATGTGGAAAACATTGACAAGTGTAAGCTGTGCATCGAGCGGAGACTCTTAGCCCTCCTGACTGGCTTCTCTGCGAGGTGCTGAGGGGTGGACACCGACTGGACTGGTCTGGATGAGCCTGTGGGCCTTCACTCCACAGGACCGAGTAGAGGGACTGGACACACACAGGTCCACCTGCCCCCTTCTCCACTGAGGGCTGCTGCTGCTGGCTCCTGCCTGGCAGTGACCACAGGGTACCAGGAAGGGCAACGCAGACCTTCCCCTGCCAGGTGGTCTGTCCAGAAACTTCAAAGCTCACAGCTAAGAACTGTGCCCAATGGGTAGAAGCAGCCCCTCCGAGCCTGCATTCTGGCCGCCCCCTCTGATGAGAGGATGCAGGGCAGTGCAGGAATCCTGGGAGTGCTCTTGAGTCCTGGTCTATCGAACAGGGTTTGTGTGGGTTTTCTCCCCTTTTGCTTTAAATTGTGTTACACCCATTTATGGAAATAAACCTTTGGAATTGTTAAAAAAAAAAAACAAAGGCGAATTTTGGTGGATTAGTGGTAAGGAGTTTCATTGCTAAACCAAAAGCTTTTGGTTCAAACCAAGCTTCTCTGAGGGAGAAAGATGGGCAATCTCCTCCCTTGTACTTAAACTTCCTTGAAAATCTCTTGGAGGTTCAAATATTAATTGATTCCAACTCAACAGTACATAACAACAGCAACTGTACAAAACCCCAGAACTAGCAGATTCTAGAGTTTCCCAGTACATAAAAACAAAATCAATCAAGCAACTCTATTATAAGTTGAATTGTGTTTTGTGTTGCAAATGCTAACCATATGCTGTTGATAAAGCAGTATTAGTGGTGGAGACGTTAATGAGTTAATCTCTTCTGAGGTATGCAAGAGATTGAACAAGTGAATAAAGATTTGGAGGACCTCAGTACCACCAAGAAGAGAAGAACACAAATCCCTGCAATGGAGTTATGGATTGAATTCTGTCCCTCCAAAATGTGAGTAAGGAATTATTCTGCTAACTCAAACACATGTGGTTTGAATCCACAAGCTGCTTCATGAGAGAAAGACGAGTGAGCACTCTCCTCTCCAGAGATTTACAGCCTCTAAAAATCACCTGGAGGGTCAGCTATGAAGTCACATAACAACAACAGCAACAATGATAGAATATGGAAGCTATGTAATGATCTTCTGTGATCTGAAAAACCAAATAGCTGTAAAAGAAGGTTTATTGGTGGAATGTCATACTTCTTAATCCCATCACAACCCTAATAGGTTGTAAAAAGAATTCCCCTAGGGTGTCAAAGTGGAGGCTAAGTAGAGAAAAACAAGGCAAGATGGGTTTGGTTGATACATGCTGTCAAGTCTACTCATGTCTACCATATGAACACAGATTTATACCTTGTCCTATCCTGTGCCATCCTCACCATCTCCAATATCCATGAGCCCATTGTTAACAGTTACCTTGTCAATTAATCTTGCTGAGAGTCATCTTCTCCTATGCCGACCTTTCCAAGGATGATTTCCAAGGACTGGTCCCTCCTAACAACATGCCCACAGTATGTAAGAGGAAATTTCACCAACCTTGTTTCCAAGGAGCACCCTGGTCACACATTCTCCAAGACAGATGTGTTCAGCATTCTTCTCCAACACTGCAATTAAAGACATCAATTCTTCCATCATCCTTAGTCATTGTTCAGCTTTCAGATGTGTTGTTTTTGTTGTTGTTGTTATGTGCCGTCGAGTCACTTGCGACTCATAGTGACCCTATGTACAACAGCCCTAAACTCTGCTCTGTCCTGTGCCAATCGCACTGTCTCTGACACTCCCATCCCGATTAACCCAGTCACTGAATCAATCCACCTCATAGAGGGCCTTCCCCTCCTGCGCTGTCCCTCCACCCTACCAAGCATGATGTCCTTCTCTAAGGACTGGTCTCTCCTTACAACATGACCAAAGTATGTTAGATGGAGCCTCAGAATCCTTGCCTCCAAGGAGCCACCAGGTTTAACCCTTTCCAGGATGAATGTGTTTGTTTTCCTAGCAGTCCATGGTACTCTCAATACTCTTCTCCAGCACCACAGCTCAAAGGCATCAATTCTCCTTCTATCCTCCTTGGTCATTGTCCAACTCTTTGATGCATAACAGGTGATTGCAAAGACCATGCCTGTATCAGACACACCTTAGTCTCCAGAGAGACACCATTGCTCTTCAGTACTTTGGAGAGGTGCCTAACAGCAGACTTTCCCATGGCAATATGCCTTTTAATTTCCTGGCTACTGGTGCCAAGAGTGTTGACTGTGGAGCCAAGCAGACTAAAGTTGTTAACAATCTCAAACTCTTCACCATCCATCCTGATGCTGCCAGTTGGCCCAGTGGTGAGAATCTTTGTCTTCTTGACATTGAGCCTCAATCCATATTGGAGGCTGCAGTTCTTGACCCTCTGCACCAAGCGCTTCAGCTCCTCCTCAGTTTCAGCAAACAGGGTTGTGTCATCTGAATAACACAAATAGTTGATAGATCTTCCACCAATCTTGACCCCACATTTCTCCTCATAGAGCCCAGCCTCCTGGATAATCTGTTCTGCATACAGGTTGAAAAGGTATGGAGATAGGACGCATCCCTGGCGTACGCCCTTCCCAATTTTGAACCATGTAGTGTTCCCTTGCTCTGTTCTGACGACTGTCTCCTGGTCCAAGTATAGGTTTTGCGTTAGAATGATCAAGTGTTCTGGGGTTCCCATTCTTCTCAGAGTCAGCCACAGTTTGTTATGATCCACACAGTCAAATGCCTTTGCATAATCAATGAAACACAGGTATACATTCCTCTGGTATTCCCTGCTTTCAGCTAAGATCCATCTAACATCAGCTACAATATCCCTAGTTACCACGAGAGCCTTGTGGATTGCAGTGCAGCTTCTTGCCACTAGGCCAACAGAGCTCCCTTTCAGACGTGTAGCAGGTAATAAAAAAGACTATGACTTAGATCCGAAATATCTTAGTCTTTAAGCTATTGTCCTTGCTCTTTCACACTTTAGAGAGGTCTCTAAGAGTAGATTTTCCCAATGCAATAACATCTCCTAATGTCCTCACTGCTGATACCAAAGATATTAATTGTGGATCCAAGTAATATGAAATCATTGACAATTTCAATCTTTTCTCCATCTATCGTGATGTTTCCTTCTGGCCCAGAGGTGAGGATTTTTGTCTTCTTGATGTTGAGATTCAATCAATATTGACATCTGTAGTCTTTGGTTTTCTGTAGCAAATGTTTCAAGTTCTCACTTTCAGTAAGCAGGGTTGTGTCCTCCGCATAATATGGGTTGCTGATGAGTCTTCCTCCAATCCTGATGCCACATTCTTGTTCATAAAGTCCAGCTTCTCAAATGATTTGTTCAGGGTGCAGATTGAAATGGTACAGAGGAAGGACACAACCCTGATGTACCTTTCCTTATTTTAAATCATATAGTGTTCCCTTATTCTGTTTGGACAACCACTGCTTTGACTAGGTATATAATAATTGGACAATAGAACAAAAAGTTTGAAACAAAGGGCTAGTAGTTAAAAATTATGGCCTTATTGACAGAAATGTACTTGGAAACCAAATAATTGATTATTGCACAATCAAGGATTTGTTCATTATAAATACTTACTTTTAAAAAACCAAAACAGAAACAGTGAGTATACTCATGTACTTCACCTCCTGGACTACATGGAATCAAAACTAACAACAACTGTGGAAAGAGTCAATGAAGAAGCTTGATATTAGTAGTTAAAACCAGGACAAGTGCTGACTGTGGAACATACCATCAATCACTCCATGTAAGTTGAAACTGAAGCTAAAGACAATTAAAATAAAGACATAGGAATCAAAATATAACCTTGAGTCTATCCTACTTCAATTCAAAAATCAATTCAAGATCTTGTTCAAGGCATTGAACACTAATGATTGAAGACGAGAAAAATAATGGAATGACTTCAAGGATATTATTTATGAAGTAAGCAAAAGGTTATAAACAAGACAGATGAGAAAGAAGGGATCTAAATGGATGTCAGAAGAGACTCTGACAATTACACTAGAACAAGAAGCCAAAACAAAGAGAAGAAATTCCAAAATAAAAGAGTTGAACAGAAGATTTCAAAGGGCTGCTCAAGAAGACAAAGCCAAGTAAGTATTACAATGAAATGTACAAAAGAGCTGAGTTATCAAATAATAGGGAAGAACTTATCAATATTTATTTTTTTTTGGAAGTAAATGCTTTATTCTTTCAACTAAATTCCAGTACTACAGGGCAATAAAACAATCATACACTTGAAGGGAGAGGGAAATGCAACAATAAACATTTGTTAAAGAAATGGATAGAATAAATAAAAACTACCCCCCCCCCAAAATCATATAAACCCATCTGAAATCCAAGTAAGTCCTGAATATAGAAATGCCCTACTCCTTCACTATTTCACAGGAAGCACTGTAGGCTATTTGCTTAACATTGCCCTGGTATTACATTCTAAATTATCTATATTTCTTAAGCTGAAAGGACTCAAGAACAAAATCAAACCTTGAGTTGAAACACTGAAAGATGCTACACTCAAAATCTTGAATAAAAGGGAGCTCTGATGGTCTAGTGGTAAGAAGCTGTGCTCCAATTCCGAAGGCGCATTGGTTCCAATCCACCCAATGCTCTGCTGGAGAAGGAGAGGTAATCTCCTCCTGTGCCAGTCAGATCTGATTTGACAGTACACAACAAGGGGTGGGGTGCAGAATTTTAAAAAAACAAACCAACAACCTTGAATGATCTAGGAATCCTCAAATGAAAATGGAAGAAACAGACAGACAGGATTGAGAGAACCACCAGTGAACAACTTCCAGGAGTGGAGTACATCTTTTTTGGAGCTGGACTTAAACCTAACAAAGCTCTTTGAAAGCAAGGAAGGTCCAGACACGTAGAGGTGAGGGAATGTCAAGCCTACAGATACAGAATGAAACAAGCCTTTTCTTTCATTGTCAACAGAGAATAAGCTTTCCCCTAGAACTGGCATCCTAAACTTGGACTTTTAAGTCTTCTAAACTGTAAGAATAAATTTGTTTATT